GTGTCTTTTAAAAGCTCTTTATTCTCCTGTTCATAGGCTCTAGAAAGAACACACTACAGCAATACACTTGCATAACAGTTATACCCCTGAAGCAACTCGTATTTTCATTTTTAAAATGCAGCTTAAGAGATGATTTAGTATGATTTTTCAGAATTCCAGTCTTGTCTCCTATTTCCATATGTCACATGCAAAACCATTAATTTATTCTGAATTTGGGAAATACACATTTTTTTGGTGTTTTAGGTGATTTAAATGCTGTTTTGGTAGTGAATGACTGTTGATGACTGTGTAAAATGCATCTGTACTGTACATGAAATGTAATTATTTCTGTGTATCATACAAAGAAACCAAGATTGTTGTTTTGACAGTTTTGTTTGACAGTCATATATCGTATTTCAGAAGGCAGCATAATACACGTGTTATGCTGAATAAATAGACATTTGAGGAATATTTAAATAAAACATCTGCATGCTTGAATGGGTCAACTTGGTTTTGCAATAACTTATTAATGAAAATTTTTTCCCCTCTAATAATTTGGAAGGAACACTTAATCTGAAGTCAGCAAATATCCTAGACAGTAATTCCAGGCAAGACATGAGTGTATCTAAACCATACTAGAACCATCAAGGCCAGGATGCCACAGCTCCACTGCAGAGTTGCCCTTCTCCTGAGGGACCAGCCATCACCTGTCCCTTTCCAGCCTGCAGCAGCAGAGAAAATTGGAGCAGCCGTTTGAACTTTTCCAGCAGTATGAACTCCATCTCTTTATCTGTACTTTAAAAAATGTCCCTTGTGTACATCCAAAAACCAAACTGCTCTGCTGAACTTCTCATACCTGCTATCAAATTCCCTTGATAAAATACTAGTGCACAGAGAAGATCAAACTCTATTTGTAGCCTTTGAGTAGGTAGCAACACACCATGGGGGGGATCACTAATGAAGTGTAACTAGGTGCAGATGATGTTGATCAACCTTGGCACACCTGATGGCTGCCTCTGTGAGGAGCTCACTGCTCTGGGTGGTGGGGAAAGATAACAGATAACACCTGTCTGTGAACCATACCAGAGCATTTTTGATAACAACTGTCCTCTCATAAAATAGCCACAGAAGGCAAACTGAAAATGTACACTTTACATTTTGAAGTTGTGGATATACTCTTGGTGGAAGCACCCTGGCTACCAAAAGAAGGCTTTCAGAGCAGAGAACCCAGAGAACCCAACTCTCAGCTGCTGCACAGAGAAGGGGACCTTCAGAGAGGAAGCTGATCTGGAGGAGGACAAATTTCTGAAGCCACAGGATCACTAAATTTTGGGCAGGGAGCGTGGTTAGGAGGTCATAAGCTCTCTTTGCTGCACCTGAGGCCCACCAGGGCTTTATTTTACAACTGTCTATGGGAATATTTTAGGACCATCACCTGTTCTAGAGGAGACATCAGCTGATGGGATACACAAACATGTGGCTAAAAGAGTAGGAGTGTCAGGAGTGAACACAGACTGGCAATGTCCAGAAGATACATGGAATTATCCAGCAGCTTATTTTCTTACCTGCCTATATCATCTAGTTGTCTACTTAACAGTATCTACGCACAAGGAGCAACTTAAGTGGGGGAATGCTGAATAAAATGGAAGTGGATATATAGAAATTCTCAAAAGTTTAGGACATCACATTTTTTTTAAACAGGAAGTAGTCAATCATACACAAGTTGGAAAGTTTTAGATACAATCTCACTTCAACAATAGCATTCTGTATGAATTACATGCAATGCTTGATGTGGGCTGACAACACTGGCAGGATGCCAGATGTCCACCAAAGCCACTCTATCTCTTCCCTTCTTAGCCGGGCAGGGAAGAGAAAATGTAACAAAGTAATTTATCTTGGGTTCAGATATAGACAGGGAGAGATCACTCACTGACTGCTGTCATAGGAAAAACAGACCACTTGGTGCAATTTATTACCAATCAAATCCAAATAGGGTAATAAAAAATAAAACATCTTTCCCCCATCCTTCCCTTTTACCTTTACCTAAGCTCAACTTTATTCCTGAACTCTACCTCCTCCTCCTCTGACACACAGGGAGACAGGAAATGGGGTCTCTGTGGTCAGCTCATCATGTGTTTTCTGATGCTGAGACTTTTTACAGGAAAGGCTCCTCACACTCTTTACATGCTCCAGTATGGGGTCCCTTCCATGGGAGATGATTCTCTACAAACATGTCCAAAGAGACCCCCTCCCATGAACTACTCCAGCAAGGGTCCCCCCCAGGGTCACACACAGCTGCCATCAGACCTGCTGCAGTGTGGGTTCCTCTCTGCACAGGTCCTGCCAGGAGCCTGCTCCATGGGGGCTATGACAGGGTCACAGCTCCCTTCAGGCACCCACCTGCTCAGGTGTGGGGCTCCCTCAGGCTGCCCGTGGGTCTCTGCCCCACCATGGACCTCCCTGTGCTGCAGGGACAGCCTGTTGCACCATGGGCTGCACCACTGGCTGCAGGGCAGCCTCTGCTCTGGTGCCTGCAGCACCTGCTGCCCTTCCTTCTTCACTGACTGACCTTTGTGTCTGCAGAGCAGTTCCTCCCACTCCTCTCTTCAGCTGCACTTGCTGTTACCACAACCATTTTTTCTGCTTCTCAAATAGCTATCCCAGAGGGGTTACCCCTGTCACCAAAGGGCTTAGCCTTGGCCAGCAGAGGTTCTGTGCTGGAGCTGGTTGGCTTCTGGCTGCATCAGACACAGGGGAAGCTTCTCAACTTCTCACAGAAATCCCCCCACAGCCTCCCCACTACTGTGCCATGCAAACCCTTAGTGTGTCAGTGTTGTAAGACTTCAATAATCTGTGTTTTTCTGCACAGTTTACAGAATTATAGAATATTCTGAGTTGGAAGGGACACACAAGGACCAAGTCCAACCCTTAAGTGAATGGCCCATATGGGGATTGAGCTTGAAACTTTAGCATTATTAGCACCATGCTCTGAGACCAAATACAACGCTTTCACAATAGAAACTTTAAAAGCTATTTATAAATCCCTTCCTCCACCCCATTTAACTATATAGTTGCTGTAACCAACAGCCTCTCTTTTTACTATTCATTCTTTATATATTCCATTATATTCATATATGCTTTTACAAAATGAAAAGCTATAAAGAAGAAAACATAGCTTTTTCCTTCCAAAAATCTTGTCATACAACCTGTTGGCAGATGAATCAATGCCAGGACCAGATCCAAGGACCAGAAACAGTGATCTTTGCCCCCTAAAAGCATGCTCAGCCCCATAGCAACAGGCCCAGTGCTATGGACTTGGTACAGTCACTGGGCTGAACGCAAAACTCGGGGCTGGCAGGAAGCGACCCCTTTTTCTGATACAGTTGCACTCCTCAAGTGCCCTCTGAAAAATGTTAAGGAGCATCTCTGTAGTTGTTTGCTGCAACAAGAAAGATTTAGTTCATTACACTTCATGCTGCAGAGAGCAAAACCCACACCATCCTTCTCCAAGTACTCCTGTAAAACTGAGGAAAAAATAAAGTAAGAGGAAGTGGTTTTCACTGCCTCAAGTATCTCTAAATGTTCCTGTCCTGCCAAGCAGCCTCTCTCTTACATAGAATCTAAAGCTCTACAGGAAAAGAGCAGGCTCACCACAGCCTAGCCAATTAATTTTAAAGCTCTTTGAAGAAGCCCTAGAAAAGCAGGCACCTCATAGCCTGAGCAGTCAAGGAAAAAATTCTTGAAGTGTTCCAATTTACAGATGAGACCTATTTCTGCAAATGCAGTTAAATACTCAAAACAGAAATATTCTTTCCCAGAATGTAGACAGGCTCAGGATTTGGGTAGCCAGGTCCAAGTGAGCTTTTCCTGTCTGCAAATGTTCATTGTTGTGGAGGTCCATAAACACTGCTTTGGGAGGTTGCCTCTGTGTCTAAGCAATCCTCTGCTGTTACAGAAACCTGACTACACCTGAAGGCAGTGCTTCCTCACACCCAGACAGCTTAAAACCAAATGACTGGGGCTCTAAGTATCTCTAAATCCCAACACAATCCCCTAGCTTGGCTTGCCCTATTTGTTCCTTGATGAGCAGGTTAGAATATATCCAGGTTAGAAGATACACAGGCAACCCCCATGACAGTCTGAACAGTCCTTGTATGGAAAGACAAGGAATATTTGAAGCATGGCTAAACATGGCTTCCACAGACACTCCTGGGGTAAAACTTTAAGGGCTGAGGCTTACTTGAAAAAGGGAATTTTATATTTCTTTTCACATTACTTTTTTTACATTATTTAAGTGAAATTCCCTACATTCAGTAGTAATTCACTACCAAATATAGCTGTGTACACGTAATCCATAATCAAGATTTCCCAATCCGTGGTTTGTAGGGACTTTTTTTGATTTTTAAACAGTGGCAAGAGATGACTCAATGCACTGTGCAGCATCACTAGCACAGCATTCTGAAGCCTGGAGTTGCTCTGCACTCAGACTTTGTTGGACACCTGCTCCTCAGCAGGAACCTCACCCTTAGCTAAGGCAATGCTACCCAGGCTGAGCAGTGGGAGGGTGGAACTCAGCTCTGCCTGTGTAGCAACACCGGGACAAGGCTTCCCAAGCAGAACATAAGAATGCATTCCTGACAAAGACAGTCCCAAGCAAAATTTCGGGATGGTCTCTCCTTTTATCTTCTTTTTACCTCCCAAAATAAGTATTGGCATCTACATAAGTACAAAAGCAGAAAGGTAATCTCGCTTGCAATAGTACCCTTGAAATAATTATACCCAGAAGCAGACTGCCGAAAAGCAAACAGCCCACACAACTGAAGTGCTTAATTTCACAAGCCCTTAAGATGTTTTATCAGAAGTAATAAAAAAGAAAAAAGAAAATTGCACTAACATTGCAGTTTCTCCACAACAGAGTGGAATGGGTAAGTCAAATTAACTCACACTAGAAGGAGGACCTTCCCAATGCCCATCCAAAGCACTCCCACTCTAGGACTAAAAAAAACAAAAGCTATTACAGAATTTAAGAGAAAAGTAATTTTATTGTCTGCCAAATCACACCTTGACTTCTTTTTTCTTTTACAAATTCCAAAACAAATGAACTAATTTTTAATGTAATATTATGTAAAAAGCCCATTTGCCACAAACTACTATACTCAATGGAACAAATATATATCTCAAGAGCGTGGCCAATTGTAAAAATAATCCTATGACATAGACATTGCTCATCAAAATACAGTAAAATGCACTTTCCCCACCTCAATAAATACATTTTAATCTGTTTCTGGCTGGCATTTTAGGCCACCAGAGAGTTCTTAATGAAGCACTCACCAAAGTAAAATTTTTCCTTGTGTACTTTTACAATTATTGCAATAGCATCCAGAACTGTAAGCATTTTTCTTGCAGTCTTTTGTTTCTAGCTTCAGGGGAATCATGGACAGGAGAAAAGATTTATCTATAAAAATGTGCTACTCCCATATTGATTCCCATTTTGGCAAGAATGTTTAAGGTTTTCTTCCTTTTTACTAAGAAACAGTCCACAGAACAAACTGTTTGAAGGAAGAATTCTCCAGAAAACTAAAGTCTATTGTCCATAGCAATAGTTTTGTTTTCAATCCCTGTTTAATATATTTAAAACTAAAAAAACCATTATGTTAGATAAAAATAGAAGTTTTAGACCATCTTTAAGAACAAAAACTAAGATAAAGATTTTGTTAGAAAAAAGAAAATCTCGCCCTTTTTACAAATCTTGCAAAATTTTAAATCCAAGTATTAACTTGAATTGTAGCTCTGCTTTCCATGCACACATGAAAACACACAATTATACATACATAGATCCCTGATAAAGACATTTTCCAAATGGCTTATTAAAAGTCAATTTCAGCTGAAGTCATATTTTGTTTGCTCAAAGCACAGTTGTTTCTTCAGAAGATGAATATTTCTCTTCCCTTCCCATGATGCTTCCTTACAGGTTCAGTCTACCTGTGATTGAGTCAGTGTTTTACACTTCACACAGCTTGTGCCAACGAGTATTACTGTGCCCAACTGAATGAGAGCCTTTTAAAAAATGAACACACAAAATCAACTCTCTTTCACAGCTGAGGACATGGCTAAGAGGCTGGCAACAGGCTCATCTTTCTTTGCTGGTCTTCTTCACTTCCATTCATTAGCTGGTTTCCAACACATAAGAAGACTGGTATATTTGATGGAACAGAACAGAAGTAACAACAACACAAAAAGTCCTCTGTGACTTCGCAGATTCATCGCATCCCTTACAGCTCTTCCATTTCAAAGTGTGTACTAAAGCTGTTTGCCATGGATGTATGTTCAAAGATCCTGGTGAGGCTTGGTTTCAGCAGCTCCATGGAATGACATGACAGCTCCTGTGAGGTACCACTCTTCAGTGCCATGATCTGATCGGCTCTGGGATCCCTTCTGTCATAGTACAGAGCCCACAGCAAAGTAATAGTGAGGATCATGGCCAGGATCTGCATTACTCCAATAGAGATTCCTAGGAATCTCAGCACTTGCAGCTGCTTCGTCCCCCTCAAGAAAGTGTACATTTTTTTACCACATCCCTGTAAAACAAAAACAGATTAAAAACCAGTCAGTAATATTTGGGTTGCAGCTCCCAAGGCTTAGCTCATCCTACCCACTACTGTCTTTTCTGGCTCTCAAGAATCTCTCACTTCCTTCAAACCTTCCTTCCTTTGAAAATTATTTTGCCTACTTTTTAACTGCTTCCATAATGCCAACTTTAAGTTTGCTCTACACAGAGACTTTACTGAAAGACATCTGTGTGACTTTTCAGAAATAACTCAAAGTTAATTTGAATTACTATAAACTCTCACTAATTGTTAAAGAAACTCAACTTGTTTTGTGAAGGTCTAAAAAGCCATTAAAATCCTTTTTATTATCTTGTTTCTCTCTTTAAATTGAAGATCTTCAAAGCTGTCAACTATTTTAAACTCTTTTAGACTTTTCCTACACATAATACTACACTCTGAAGCTAAAACAGTATTGTAGGAAAGATCTATGGAAGCCGTGTAACCTCATCAGCAAAAATCCCATGAAAACTACGTTACAACATTGTAAGCTGATGTTCACAGAAATGGAATTTAGCTCTTTCCAAACCTTCAGTGCAGGCCCCACAGTTTGCTTCCATGGCCAACTAACTCCCACATAAGGCCTCAGAGAAGCTCCCAAGCCCGTGTAAGGCTGCAGGGATCCACAGAGAGGCAGCAGTTTTGGGAACTGCTGGCCAGCAGTGCAAGCACAAGTTATGGCGCTGTCGCTCAGTGAGGGTGATGTGAGTCTTAGAGACGATAAAACCAAGAAGTGAAGGACCTCTGCTACTCTCTGCATGATGCTTATTCTCCATTCTAAGCTTTGCAGGGTTTCACAGCACAATTATCTGAGTAAAATACATATCAAGGGGAAACTCAGAGTAACAAACTGGATGGGCACTGGTCCCAGACACAGATGTCAGGAATCCATCAAAATGGGCACCGTCTGGAGAATGTTATTTTTTGCGTTTACATCCTCACTTCATATTTCTTATAGCTTTTCTAAGAAAATAAAGCAATCGATCAAAGTGATGGAATCTGAAGACAGGACATGATAAATAACACTTTTCAATCACACATAAATTCCCCAAAGCCAATTTCCCCAAAGCCAATTTCAAATGCTACAGTCCTAGAAGCATTTGATGTAAGGTCCAATTTTTGCCACACACACAGAATTCACACTGTACTCAACAGATTTTCATTTAGGATGTAAATAAAATTAATGTACTCTTTGATAATTCCACCAGAATAAATTATAGGATCTTGATGTCTCTGCTTGTTTCATTACTTCATTTTCTAAACAGCAGCAAAGACACACAAAAAGGAGCAAATATGAAATCTTTGAAATTAAAAAAAAAAGCAGCATTGTAGAAAAAGCAATGTAATTGGAATTGAGAGGGGGACAAAAACTGTCACATTGGCATCTTTTTTTCTTCAACTGTAAGGCAGTTGCAGCTATATCACTTCCCAAATCTGTTGTTAATTACAGAGAAACTGGCTGCATTTTAGTACTTTTAACTTAAAGAGATGAAAGTGCATGCTGGTCACAATTCAAAAATGTTCTACCACAGCAATATTCAAACTTAGTTCATTTGTTGCCTAGAGAAAACACCCACTAACAGAGAGCAATACCGTTAATGCCTACATCTCCTGCAGTACACAGACACAGAACTGAGACAAATTACACTCAGTCTAGGTGGACTGTTTTCCTCCATTCAATGATGCTCTCAGAGCTCTGCTCTAATACAGGTTCAAAATTAGCTTCAAATCTGCGAAAACACAGCCAGCCCTGTTAACTTCACATTCATGCATTTTATTTCTGCTTATGTGACACTTCCATAGTTGGCAGCCTGCAATTAAACAGTACATAAATACACTTCCCTCAGCAAAAGCTTGTCACTAAATGGGGAGCTCTTGTTGACAAATCAAATATAGTCTAAAACTTTGCAGCAATCATTCAGGGAATCAGCTTCAGATTCCTACAAAGCTACAGATTAAAGGCCTGATTTATTTGCTTTATACTTTCAGTCTTGAGATAGAAAAAAGAATGTATTTCTTATTCAGCACATATTACTGATTTACTTCATAGAGTAAGAATCTGAACTGAAATAAAGCACTTCACTGAGCAAAAAAATAAGCCATCAGGAAACTCAACAAATTTTTTGTACACCCAAATTTTGAGTATACTCAAAATTACATTAATGCAAGTTGTAAAATTAAATATTAAAACAAACCAAAATTAAGACAAAAATAATTTAATTAAAGTGAATTTTGAGTATACTCTAAATTATGCCAGAAACCAAAAGATAATATTGAACATGCAAGTTTGATTTTTTTTTTTTAAGATATTGATTCCCACCAATCATTTTATCTACACTGCAGCTCCCAATCACAAGATGGGCAGAGCTCCTCTTGTCCTCAGACCACAATAAACCTCCAAGGCCACATCATCATCTTCACACTCCCCCCACAACCATGCTCTAACGTCAGTCTGTTCATGAAACTGCACCAAAGGTGAAACTCATCAGAATAAAAGCAATTCAAGAAATTGAAAAATAGTTTTCAATATCCAGCATGGAAAATATGATTCCTGACAAAAGTACTTTCAAGCAGAACTGTAAGTCACCTTTCTTTCTGCAAAAATTAAATTGTGAAGGATTCCAACTTAGACTATAGAAAGCTCTGAGTTCCCAGCAAAAACTCACAGCACAGCTATAAAAAAAACCCCACATTTATCAGTCCAAGACAAACCAAACTTCAGTTTTCTGAAGTACTACAAAGAATTTTTCTGAAGTACCAGAATGGACTTGCCAAATATTTACATAAACCAATTTTAGGCTAGCGAGGCTAATCTTATCAGGCTCCCTCTCAAACCACCAGACAATGCAAGTTTGGTTTGAATCACTTTCTAAAAAAGCTTTTTTCCTTCAGTCCTCCAAAGCAGAAGTTAGGCAGATTAGTCCTGCAAGTGTAAGCTGTTTTTGCATAATACCGATAAACTTATTAGCAAGCATACTGTACGAGTCTGTGAGACACCCCACAGGCAAGTGCCATGCAAAGAAACATTTTGCCAACAAAATATTGTATGTATCTCAAAGAGAAATGAAGTATTTTTGTGGCTGATACTACTGAACACAGCCTGTCCCTTTTTGGAATGGATTCTGCAGTGGAGAACCAAAAATAAATTTTTGCTAACTGCTGAATGCATGCAAAATGCTCTGTGGTATAATAAGGGAAGAACCATAAGTGTGCCCTTCAGATTTCTTTTGGAAAAATATAAAAAGCCAAGCAGTCTTTCTTTTATCAAGGGGGTCTTAACATTTATTATTATATCCTACATAATAATCATCTTTGGCTATTAATTTTCTCCAAACAGAATCAAAAGAACTTGACCATATGAGGTGCTCAAAGAACCATTTTCCTGGACTGTGGCATGGGCATGAAAGGTTAGCAAAAGAGGTGACAGAAGAAAACCTTGCACTTTGGACACTACATTCCAACGATTTCTCAGAAATTTTTGAGCTTCCTGTGCTCAAAGAACAGTTTTTCACTGAGTGACACTGCTTACATACTCCTGCATTTCAGGCAGGGAGCAAACGAATGTTCTACAGCTTCTATATACTCCTTGGAGGCTCTCTACAACACACTTGTCTGTATGGCATTAACAGCAGCAACAGTATTACTAAAAGCAACCATTACTGCAAAGTAAGCCACAATTTTTAGCTTTTCAAAAGGCATAAGGGACTGGTAAAAGAAGCCTGAATGCCTTTCTCATTCAGGGACTGACACTTCTAAAGCATAACCAGTGCTGTCAGTGCAGTGAGCCTTACCAAAAGGCAAGAGAAGGTCTACAAGCAACTGGTGGGAAAAAATCCAACCCCTGCCACCATCTTTAAGGTTCCTAGCACAGACTGGCCTCTGAGGCACCTGCCTTTTGGCTGCTCTATCTTCTCTCTTCCTAGTGCAAGCACACAGCCTCCTAAAATGGATGTCTGAAAGTCCAGATTAGATTAAATAATTTCTGTTCATAGTCAGTACCACACAAATCAATTTCCCCAAAACTTGACTGTTTCCTGGCAATAGCTAATATTCATTTTGGCTTGTTTATATAGTGAATCTCCTCTGCTTCAGAAGTGTTGCTCCATAGCTCCTTAACAGGAGCCATACAACAGATTCTTGTAAGAACAGGTCTTAAACAGCCTCTGAGACTGGGAGAAAATAAAACAGTTCTTTGGGTACTCTTCCATAATGCAGAGTTACACCACCCACTGGAGAAATGCTCATGCTGCAGCATCTGAAAGCATGATTCTAAGGCCCATTCTCCTTCCCATGCACCCTGTATTACCCTAAAAGCAATCCAGTGAAGAATGCACCTCTTCTCAGATCCTCACAACTACGTGACTGAGCCACACTTCCTGGCTGCTGTTGGACTACTTGGACTGCTGGTCATTCTACTGCTACTGAATGTACAATTACAGGTCTTCAGAGATCTCCTAGCATAAAAACAAAAAGTGGCTAACAAAGTAGTTTTCAGAAAAAGGTGACTTTAGACACTTATTTGTGAGAACAGAGTTTTAGTAAAGAGCGTATTTTCTTGTTTTTATAATTTTCACCCTAAAACAGTAATATCGTGCTTGATGACCTCCCTTACCCACTTCAAGTTCAAACAGGTCCTTGCCTTGTTTTAAGGCTTTCTTTGTAATTCTTTTTAAATGATCATACTGTAATATCGGAAGAGCACTTTCACAAGTTTCTACACATGCTCAGAGTACAACCAAATTATCTGCCTCCTGACATGATTCCTGTTAACAAGAGAGCTCTCATCTGTCAAAGGAATTATCAAAAGCATCCTTCACTGTACAATTCACTAAAATACTCTTCCACTTACCCTGTGGCAGTTTGATGAGATAGAGCCTGGACATTATGTCACACCTAATTTATAACTTTTGGATTAGAACAAATTTGAACTCCAACCTAACCAATATAAAACAAACACTTCAAATTTTAAGTACATCTCAGCTTTTAACAGCATTGCTATTAACTCACCTCACTTCCAGGTAAGGGTGGGTGGGTGGGTTTCTTTTTCCTTCTTTTTTCCCTCTGCTTCAGCATTAGCAAATAATAACCATAAACACTTTCCATAAACACAACTACTCTACAAAATAATTACTCTATTGCACTGCAAATTATGAATTTTGAATTATGAATACGGGTCAGGAAGAATGCACAAAACCTTCCAATATATTCGTATTTTTCTCCTTACCTCTTGATAGAGGTCACTGAGATCCTCATGATGTGCCTGCTTAGAGCATCCTGGGAACTCCCTGACACAACAGGAGTCAGGTGGCCAGTCCAATTCTGTCATTTCCAGCCAGTCTGTGAAGTACACCACGCCACAGCATTTAAACTGCAAAGGAAGGATTAGCCAAGATCAGTAATAATGATGCTACTTCTTCAACAGGTTAAGTAGGTCATCAAAAAACCTAACAAAGTTCCTAATACCAACTTTCAAAATATTTACATAGAAAAAAACCACCTATGAGTGCTTCCATGTATCTTGTTTTGCTGTACTTTAACATAAAAGGAACATGAAAAATGTAATGTAGTGACCAATGAATACTTGAGAAGCAGTCAACAATACTGCTCTGTCCTTTAAATCCCAACTGCTTCCTCAAAGGATGCTTCCCAGAAATTGTCCTATCTCTGGATTCTCCTATCCTTATTACAAGGAACTAACACAATTTCATGTCAAAATGCAGACTAATGAACAAGTATACCTGTGGCTGAAAGGAGTAGCAGAAAAAGGTCATACTAGTGAGGACTATTCTTGCAAGTGCACAACTACAGACACATTTGCTGAAAACAGAAAAAGCACAGACTTATCTGAATATAAGAAAAAAAATTAAAAAAGCAAAAATGTATAGAAAATCACAAATGCTGAAAGGAAAACTGAAAATGGAAGGAAGGTGTATCACATTAAAATAAACACTGCAACAGAATCAACCACAAAAATAGGAAGTTTGGCTGCAAAGTAGATGAGCTACAAAACCCACTAGGACCAACAACCTGTCTTCTTCTCTGCAAAGCACACCCTGAGATTAAAAGCCAAATTACCAGTCTCTCACATTAGCAGCTGCTTTCACATAGAAAAGGGTGAAGCAGCTATATTAGATTTGGTTTGTCACTGGATGGGGACTTGACATGATTGAAAAGATGGTCTGCTGCAGAAATAAGATGCTACCTTTCCCTGCCTGAACATCCTCCAGGACCAGCCTGAGTGTAAGGAATTCCCTGAGTCCTTTGATCCACAGGCTTGGGAACACAGGTGGCACCTGCTTCAGAGCCAGCATTCTGTATTCCACACCACTCATTGCTCACAACCAAGCAGATCAGTGCCCAGACATGCTGGCACACACCGTGCCTTTAATTCATCACTCCTCTTAAAAATCTCACTTCTCCCTTCCATATCACATCTCTTGTGTTTCGGTTTTTATTGGTTTGTTACTGAAACTCCTCCCAGCACTGGGCCTTAAGGAAAGCTCAAGCTTTGGCGCCTCATTGTAATTGCAATTAACACTCTTTTCTCGTATCTTTGATCTCTTCTTTTTTTTCTTCCCCCACCAAGTTCTTCTTTGTTCACCCTTTCCATCTTCCCTACCATAGTCACAACTTTGATATCAGACCAGCAAGAGAATTGGGGGAAAACACATTTCCCATCTGCCTCAGATGTTAAACGATACAGAAGAAAGAATAACAAGCTGATTGGGACTGAACCTCCGAACAGAAACTGCAACACAGATTTTAACAGAACAGATTTGAAATTGCAACACAGATTTGAACAGAATTGCAATTGCAATTCTGCTGACTGAAGAAAGGCCACAAGTGCTTACTCAGACATAAAGCACATACCAGGCTCATACATCTAGCATCTAAACTATGGGTAGATGGAATATAAATGAGAGCCCACCAGTTAAATAGAAACTGTAAAAGAGCTTTCTCAGTTCCCCAAATCATTCATCTGGTCACACGAGCCATTAGGAAAATCTAACTTCCAAAAACTTCTTCTAACTTCTAAAGGAAATTCTTCTCCCATAGAAAAATCAGGGCTTACTTGAAGTTTTATTATTAATATTCATGTTATAACCACTCATTATGATGAAACTATAACAACTAGGAGAAGAGGCAGTATTTAATTAACCTATACACTCAAACTAAGATACAGTACCAGCTCTATTCAAGGCAAACTGATTGTGACCATTTGACTGTATTATCTCAGGTACAGAACAGACATAAACACTCTACCTGCACATGAAGAATTACTCAGTTTCACAGAGCACTCACATGGCCAGAGCAGGGAACTGGGTGAGGGAGGAGGGGGATGCTGGTGTGTAACCTCTTTCTTCCAGGTTTTACTATAAATACAGACTAACCAAGTGCTGCCAGGAAATGTTTAAATAAACAGGAAATCTGTGCAACAATGGTAGATTTTAACATTTCAACAAGGGCAGCACAATGACAGGCATTTAAAGAGTTCTCTTCCTGCACGTGAGTTATATTTGGAGTTAATGGGTTTTACCTTGGGCAATTTCATGTTTCTGTAACATAATACTTCATTCTATAAAAACAGTTCTGAATTTTAGTAGGCTAGAGGGCAAAGCTGCGAATACACAAGGAAGCTTTTTGGTTTGTTTCCCACCCCCCAGTCAAAGGAAATAAAAACCCTCATCACTTTCACAAACCTCGGCCAAAGAGACAGTGTTGGCATCATTTTGGAAACTTCCTTTCCCATTCCTTTCCAGCTAAACATATCTTAACCATGACAGCTCCATGAAAGGAAACTAACAGAGCCTATGGGAAGGGGAGCACAGTTTAATATTAAAACAACATATAGATACAGTCATTTTACTTTACCTGCAGATTTTTAGTTTAACATATATCATATATCCTTTAATGCTATCGTAATCCTAAAAGGTATTGGTGTCCTAACCTCACTGTAAAAAGAGATGAGAATATTAGCAATTTAAATTAACATTTTGGTTTTGGTGTTTAAGTACCTTTAGGGCCTACAAAAGCAAAGAATTGGATATCAAGTGATGGTAAAAGACACTACACAGTGTTTCATACCAAATGAACTTGCATTTATTTTGCCTACTCACTTAAAGCCAAACCTTTTCACTGAGCAGGTACTCCTTCAGTTCATGAATTAACTATCATCTTACCTCCCTCTGGAAGAAATTCCAAGCATGGGTCAGCCACTGGTACCTAGGTAGGCCATAATTGGTCATCCTGGCTTTCAGTGTGATCATATCGGACCACTGCACTGGAACCTGGAGCAAGGAGAGAGAAGTGACTGACACAGTGGATCAGCAGGCTTGTGGCTCCAAACCCCCAGGTTCCATCTGTACTGAGATCTTTCCAGTGCAAGGACTAAAATAACTGTGTACACAAACAAAACAGGAAAACAAGTTTTGCAATTTTTATGATACTAATACTTTACAAGCTTTTCTTAAAATATCAAGGAAAAGTTATTTGTGTCCTTTGTTTACAAATTAATGCACATTGAAAAGCAGTTACATTTTGGAGACATTCAGGGATGATTTAGTACAATTTATTTATATCATTACCTGATTTTTTACCTGGCATGAAACTTGAACTGAGTCCCATCCAAGTCATCAGGGATGGTATTTGTCTGCCCTAGTTTAGGCATCCCCCTGGTGTTGTCTTAGTAGAAATAAACAGACCGCCAAATAGGAAAATTCATCTCAAGATAAATAATTTTAACAGAGCAGATGAATCGTTCCCTTGAAGTCTCAAATTCACTTCACTGTCTAAGGTGAAAAACTTTGATTTAAATGTCTAACTTCTACATATGCAAAATTAATTGAGATAAATTCTATCTCTGGAGTTTTTTCAGCCATTTTCTGGCTTTTTCTGGAGTCCTGCACACAGGTATAGTGAATATCCTCCATTTCAGTAACTTGTTCAAGAACGGGAACAAGGAAGTATAGACAAGGCCCTAAGACCTTTTTTCCCAAACACACTCACAACCTTGTGAATATCTTCTCTTCTGAAAGGATTCCTGAAGTATTTTTCTTTCAACTGTGACAATTCAGAAGTGAAGTGCTGGAGCTCTCCATTGTCTGAATATGACACCCCAGTTAGCAACTGTTGCAAATGAACAGAGGCAAGTGCTATGGCACCAGGCATAAAGTGAAGTTATGAGTCAAAATCAAAACCTCACTTCAATTCAGCAGCACAAATTTCAGTGTGCCAAAACAAAACAAAGATCTGAAGACTGAAGTCACCATTCTATGTCACCACATATCATCCATGCTGTGTTTTGCCTTGTCTCTATCAGCCTTAATAGTCATGGTGAAAGAACACACAACTGCAATATCAGCTGTCACTTGGATGGGAGGGGAGCCCAGCTCCTCTAGCAGTCATAACTTTGCTCTCCTATTCAATTTGAAGCTAACAGTAAGGGAATTCTGTAAATAGCAACAAATGTTATCTAAGAAAAGAAAATTTGCACAATACTTCTCAAGGAACTGGTCTTCATTGTGCTAGATGCTCTGCAAAAAATATAGAGACAATCACTGCCTGCCTGAGCCCATAATACAAATAGGAACATTTGATAACATTTCATTACCACTGCTAAGTTATACTACATTTTTGATGCCCTAGTAAAGCTTCATCTTGTCAATGTAATAGTAAGGTCCCAGAAATTTAATGTGCCTTTCACTTAGCAGATTTTTTTCATTGAACTCACAATGGTTCACATGAAAAATATGTTAGCAGTAGAGTACTAAAAATACATAAAAGTATTATCATAGGATATTTCTATCACAAACATTTACATAGGTCACTATAATAAATTAATTTATTTTTGCACTCAATGTATTTCTCTTTCGTCTGCATTGTAAGCTAGCACTCCACTTTCTTTGGATAATATTTGACAGTGCTGCAATTAAGCAAATATTTGCTAGAATATTTTTAATTAACTTATTTGAGTTAAACACATTCCAAGATTACATCCACAGCAGAATATATCTGACTTCTTTAGGAAATCAATGGAAATCGGGGAAAAAAAAAATTCAAGAAGTGACAGAAGGAAATTAAAAGCAAAGCAAAACAATGTAAACCCCACTGTAGGGAAGGAATTTGAATGCTGGAGCTAAGGAGGGATTCCAGAATCTGTGTGTTTGCTGCAAGAATGCCCACAGGTAAAACTGTACAGGTAATAGTACATTGAGGTACCTATTAAATATCTTGCTGTCACCTTGTATACACCGTAGTGCACAATAATACACGACTGAGATGCACTCGTCTGACTATGCCCAATACTCATGTGTAGACAAACAAAAGTAAGAGATGCTGCTTTGATTTCAATCTAAGTTCTATAAAGCTCAGTCTGCCACTGAGATATAATTACTCATTATTATTTTTTTAATGACTATCAAAGCTTGATCAATGCATAAATAAGCCAAGGACCCACACTGGCTTTTCAATCTTGTGGGTGGAATAAATTAGTCATGAGGCACATTACATGCTGAGAGCTATCATGAGCTGGAAGGAAAGCTGTTTATGCAAGGACTCTTAGAGACTCAACTTGTCCACATACCAAGGAAAGCCCATACTGGATGAGCAGAGGCAGTTATGCATCACTGACATTTCTGACAACATCACCCACACTACACTACACACCCGCCTACACCAATGCCAACTGATCTCTGACTCCCACCAGGGGCTCATGTGATTTAATGCTACACTGAAACCAATATGATATCAAGACAACTCTATGGTTATAAGAGTGAACTGTCTTATCTTCATGGAGTAGGAGGAAGCACATTCTATGGAATGACCTGCACAGGTATGGAAGAACCACTAAAAAATGGTTTTCTCTTCAAGACTGCCACATTCCTTATGATTTTCAGCAGCAAGAAACGCACCTCCTCACATGAAGAACAGCATTAGGACAAAGGGAATAATAATAAGAAATCAGATGAAAAGAGAAAACAACAAAAAAACAACAACCAGAAAGACCCAAACTAAACCAGTATTTCAGAAGATGAGGAATAAAAAAAAACAACCAAAACATATATATAGGCAGAGAAGAAAAGAGACAAAGAAAAGCAAAAAAAAGAGCAACTGTGTTTGCTGTGACCCACTGCAGAAGCTGCAGACACACAATCCAGTGCTGCTTCCTTTAGCAAAGGGCTGAAGTTTCTGAGGGAAACAGCTTGACCAGTGACATAACATATGGTATGGCTATGCCAGCCTTCATCCAGGTTTGGGTTTCAGTAGAATAGTAGATAACCAAAAGCTTGGGGGTCAGACTAAAACACACCACACTTCTGGTTTTCTAACTAAATAGCAAAGGTTGAAAAAGCACATTCCAGTGCTGTGAAGGCTATGATATTTCAGGCACTTTCCACTGACAAGATTTTTGTGGAATTATGCATTTTAGTTGTAACAATCATCCTTGGCAAAACCCCTGCAGAGGGCAGCTGTGCCCATTACATGAAGAATGCCTCTTGTCTGTATTCCCAATTTTAAAATGAATCAACACAAGCTGACATTTAAAGCAAAGGAACAGCCTCAATCTCTATTATATTAGAACAGCTTCCTGGAATCTGTACTGCAAGGGAATGAATTCTGATGCAAAGTCCTGCTATGTAACTTCAAATCTGCCAGAAATTCCTTTGGTCCAAGTACTGTGTAAATATCAAGAAAGCCATCTCAACATCTTACTGCAATACAATTGTCATTCACTGTTGGAAAGACCATTATATTATAGGGCATATCTTGGCAGATGAGAGAAAACTATTTGTCCCTCTGTTCATAAAAATGTACCAGACAAGATGTAAGGATATAGCAGTCAACAGTTAAGATTCCAGTTTAATTTGCTCAACACTTACCTATTTTCTTACATGATGGTTACAAGTCCTCAGTTGGAAAAATTAAAGGTTGGTGAAGTTATAAAAACTAGACAGAGATAAAACCTCTTCACAAGTTTACAGAAGAGTGTTTTATAGTCAAGACATGTTTTGCTTAAAACTGGCATTTATAGCTTGTGGAGGCAGTGTGCAGATTTTAGCAGACAGCAAGTCCTCTACAGAAAGAACATGCTGTCTGTTTACAACGTAGTACACTCTTTAAAACACAAAGAACTTTTGGGACAAAATGCCTTCAAATTCTCTCATTTCCTCTCTCAAAATCCATATTTAAGCCTGAAGTTCTAATTTATCCTCAAAAATATCAAAGACTTCAATGAGAACCTGCCTGAGCAACAATTAACAAAAAATTAAGTTCTTAAATGGGGGGATGAAGGATTTGGCTCTCAAATATAGAGGGGGTAAGGAGAAACCCAGACAGGGCCTTCCAGACAGACAAGCTCCCTCAGGAGAATTCTCTGTTTAAAATGAAGGCAATCAGTGGAAATTAAACTGTCAGAATAATCAACAGAGATAAACACTACAGCAATTAGAAAAAAGCTAGCTAATGGAAAACTTAGTTTTATTCTGCTGAAAAAATGCAGCCTCCTTTTCTGGACTCACCGTTATTTCCTGCTCGTAGGTCCAAACACCACAGGCCAGTTCAACGCAGAATATTACAAGCAAGCTTCCAAAATACTGCAGAAACAGAATGGTCTTAGCTATTTTTTATATTCTTTGAAATAAAAATATTTTTCAAAGTTTAATATTGTTAAGTCTTTCTTCAAAGTTAAAGAACATCTGAAAATATTATTAAAATTTCGCATGGTTTAAGACATGGAAACAAAAATACATTTTTGTAACCAAAATATGGAAGACTCAGGCAGCAAACCTTATAAAAGCTAAAATCATGAGACATTTCTTTCTTGAAAACTACATTCTTATCAAAATGATTTAGGTATATAAGGTCTGGTCTCAACGTACAAATATTTAGAGATTAACTGAAATATCTTTTACTATTGGAAAGTATAACCTTTGAACTATTTAAAAATAGGAAATACAAGTGTAAATTAAGAAGTACAAACCTTGGTAAGGATGCTTAAGAAAAAGTGGTTGCTGCAATTATAAAGAGCAGGAGTATCTTCTTTACAGCATCAACAAATCCTTCCTGAACTGCAGGATAAATCTACGTGTAATTTAAGGCTGTTTTAATTGGTGTTCCCTACTAAAAATAACCCTTTTATCTTTTATTTAAAGCAGAAGTACACTCTCATTTGTTCTTGACTCCCAACTTTATTCCATGTCAGTGGACTGAGCTTCCCTTTGTTCTCAGTATACAAGACTTTAAAGCTATAGGCTTCATGGATTTTAATTTAATTTGAAAATCAAAGAAACACCATCACAACATAAAACAGAATATAATAGAACAAATATTTACCTCCATCAGTAGGATACATGCCAAATGGCCTCTAATTAATTATTTCATTCTGGAATCTATTTAGGACACAAAACATGTACTTATGGTGATTTTTTTTTAATTAAAGGGTAAATGAGATGTATTTACTCTGTTAAAATAGAGTACAAAACCACAAATGCTAGGCTTTAACAGTCATCTACATATCACCTTTTTCATTCATCTGAATGAAAGGTCTGGAACTGAGTAATTCACAGACAGCTTGACAGCTACTGGTCTTGCCTTAATCTCTACTTGCTCGCCAAATCTAACTACTTGAATGAGGTATGTAGACACACACAGAGATATGTAAGAAGTGTGTGTAGAAATAGTCATGTTAATTTTAAGGAGAAACCTGCACCCATACCCTCTCCCCTTCCCCCTGCAAAGGCCTATCCAATGAAGATGGTACTGAAAGGAGGATTCCTGTTTTACTAGTCTCCATCATGTCACATTGCATCTTTACAGCTGAACAACACACTGCATTTCCTTACACATCAACACTGTAAGTACACACAGAGCTCCAGTACAGGTCTTCAATAACCAAAAGGGTCATCCTCCAAAGGTCCAAAAGAGGAAAAACATGAGTCACACCTTCCAAGAACAACAGTGCTTTTACTAATATATAAATTAATGAGCTTCTATGCAACGTATCTACTATCACTGCAGTGCCTAGTAGCCGTGCAAAGGGTTCTTTAAAGTACAGTAAACAGAGAAATCTACTTTTCTAAGTACTCACTTTGGAAGCAGGAAGGAATGCCACATGTTTTAGTGCCACAGGCTCTCTTAATAAATAATTATAATATAAAAAAGTTAAAGGGCATTATCACTAATACCGACATTTTTGAGAGGCAGAAAAACTAAATGCTTCAATGAAAAGTGCATTTCACTTCTCTGCTGTCAGAAGAAATTTCAGTGGGTTTATACTCTTAATTGAATAACAAGCTTGGGATTGTCTGCCATCTCTGAGTCTCATACAAAAATCACTGATTGTGGTGAAAGCAATACATCTGGGAGTGTACATACTCTGCAAAACTCCTAATTTGCAGTTTTTTGTAATATTTAATTCATTCCTCAAGTTTAACATTTGAAACTTCTCCACCTTTCTCAGTGTGTAAGTTAAGTGTGTTTGTGGTAGAAGACAGAAGAGCCAAACCCAAGATTTTCTCCGATTCCTGAATACAGCCCAAGATAGAAAACTATTTAGCCAGATTCACTCATAACCCACTTCTGGCTCTGCCAGAGACTGAGCACCCCTGACTAGCTACATCTATACACATCAGGGCACTGCAGAATCAAGCTCTCTGTCCTGAGAAAGCCCATCTCTTGTCCATAACATAAAAGAGAAAACAATGAGTTAACACATATGAAAGGCCATGCTCTGAATTGAGCGACTGCAGGCACACTGAACTCACACACAGGAGGTTGTTTCTCTCCCCTACTGAAAGGGAGTATTATATCTCTCTATATATAATGGTTTGCAAAACAAATACTTCTTAAATAAGATTTTTTCTGGGGAAAAAAAATCCTCTAACCGTTATTTAAATGTATTACCCCTAATTTCCATCTTCCAAATCTAGAAATTATTACTAGTTTCAATGCTTATTCCGTCCCCAGTTAAATTCCCACAAGAGTCTGAATGCTAAATGCATCTTCCTGCATTTCCATGCTTCTGGTTCTTGCCAGAAATAGGGACTTTGTTTTGAAGCAGGATCAATATTTCTTCCTGTGAGCCATCTTTACAGTCGTAAAGATGAGTAACTCACTGAGGAGCACGGCTGTGTATCACACTCTAAACTGGGCCAGGAAGTCCCTGAGAGTGCCTTCTACAGAACACCTCCCTCAGAGTATTCTTGGCCATTGCTGACATACTTTCTATAGATATTTTCTAATTTCTGTGATTGTTTTAAGAACTGGAGACCATTTACAATCACTGTCATTCTCTCCTTAGTCTGACATGCGAAGCAATCAGAAAACTGGATTGGTGCCTTGATCCTGATACAAACCCATCGGTTTCCCTGAAGGATTTCTTCCTCCAGCAAAACTGTGAAAAACCTAAAATGTTGCTTCCTTGAGAGAAGCTGAATGACTGAAATACTGGCAGAAAACACTCTTCAGAGAGTAATAAATCAAAGTAAAAATACTTGCCAACTTAAAAAATAAATAAAGCATTAGCCATTTACTGCTCCATATGTCATACTTGTGGCCAAGATACTCAACTTCAGCATCCCTCCACTGTAAAATGGATGTTGTCAGTTAGCAGGAGCTGGTCTCCTGCAATCTCCTTGTTAAGCCTGCTGTACTACAGGTCACAGGCTGGAAGGGAAGGAGGGAGAAGAAAGAGAGGCAGAAGCTCTGTAAAGCAGTAGTTTTCCAACAGGAATATTTCGTCTAACACCTGGAACATTGCACAACCACTTGCATTTTCAGCACTGGGAGACTGCAGAGGCTTAACCAACTCTGTTTTTCCAGCACATCAGTCCTGAAAGAGAGGTGAAGGGCCTGGGGGCTCAGGAGAATCATGTTCTCCTTCCTTTCTTGTGCAAGAGACTAAACATTCAAGAAGAGAGAATAGAAACAAAGTCATTACTCTGAAAACTAGTTTCAGAGATGCAAAGAGGCATGAAGGGCCAAGGAAATAGAGTAAAGATATTCCATATGTAATCACGAGGCCCTGTTCTGCTGGAATAGTCTTCCTGTGGTACACTGCCACAAAAATATCCACGGCCAGTATTCAAATGCTGAAACCTCCAATGCAGAAACCACACACAACAGCTGGGAATCCCATCACTGCAATACTAACACTAGTGCAGAGATGCTACCAGTTTACACACACCTACTGTTAACTTGTAACAGCCTCCAGAGAGCTCCTGCTCCTGGGCAAGTCAAACAACCCCATGTTCACATCTACAGGGAATTCTTATGTAAGACAGAAAGGACAGCGGACAGTGAATGCAAATCCCATTATGATGAATTTACAGAAGGGAGGTAACCATCAAGTATATAAAGACAAAAACCAGAACAAAACCGAACCAACACCAACCAAACCAAAAAACAGGGACTAGTATTAAATAGGCTTTGTCCTAATTCAAATTATTACGTGTATAAAGGCTATCAGAACCTGATAAAGCACTAAAAAACATACATGGTATTTTCAGATCTGCATTAAAAATCAAAGTAATTAAAATCTATTTTTATAAAGGTCTGTATAGGCTATATAAATATAATAAAAAAATTTAGTCTGAATAAAATTTCTGCACACCACAGTAGCACCCCACAAGTGGGAACAAGCTCCATATATGCTAGTGTACGCCAGCGCTCCATAAATGGAACATATGTGCTCTGGCATGTGCCCAAAATGTCTTCCTATCTCTCTATCTAAGACTAAAAACTAAGTTACAAAATTAGTTTATTCTAAGTAAATTATGACAGGCTTTTTTTGGTATTACATTTGTTCTACCAACAGCTAAGCTAATGTCCACCACCACCAAATATATTCCAGGAACGTATTTCTTTCTTGATCATCTCAATCACTTAGACAAAAACACAAATAAAAATAGCAAATGCAAGCACAAAATCACTTTTACTGAATCTAAGGCATTTTACATTTGTTTAAAAGGTGTTTTTTTACAACTACTCCCATTCTGTTCAGATAGTAATAGCAAAGAGCAGACACATGAAGTATCTCCCAGCATAAAATCTCTCCCTCATGGCTTTCCAACTTGTTCAATACAGGATTTTTTTTGTTGAAATTGTGGGCAACTTAGGGGCAACAAAATTGAGTGAGCAACAATCTTTTGCAAATATGTAATATAAAACTCTCACTGTAGTTCTAGAGATTTTGTGCTGAATATACCATATGATACCTGCAATTAATAACCAAATGTAATTTGTTTATGCTTTTCAGGCAGCAGGTGAAAAGAACTGGTGAAAAATAACCTATTTCTGTACTAACATGCCTACAGAACGATGAAGAAGACTAAGAAAACACAGTAGATGGAGAGAGATTTTAAATTCTTCTCAGAGATTTTTTTTAACAGCAGAAATACTGAATTCTAACTACATCTAGCAAAGGAAAACTTGAGTTAAAACTCTAGTGCCATACAGTAGTTTCCTTCAGTGCAACAGCCAGGGCAATGTCAAGAGCCAGTGCCCTGCTTCAGCTACCACAATGATCCTACTGGCACAGACACACAACCTGCCTGACTGTCCTCTGAGGATGTCCTTCTGAACTCTGTAAACATTC